TTTTTTTATGGACATTGGTGGTTGGTCTGGTTTCAAGCTAAAGGAAGAATTCAGAAAGGGAAATGAAAGAGGCTCCTGGCCTGGCCTTGCCCAGGAAATATGTACCCACAGTTAGCTGGTTTTCTTCGCTAAGGACCTCCAAGTTTTTCAAAAATTATTCTTAGAAAGGGACTAGAGGCCAGTCCATCCACTTCAGCCCCAGTGTGTGCACTATTGAGATCTCCTTACTGGGCTAAATGTTGACATGGGATTCTTTCAGCACGATTCCTTTTGATGTTCAGTTGGTTTGGACAAGATATTTCCATAGCACTTGGATGATTTGCAGGAAAAGGGCAAATCTCAAGTTTTGCTCTACATTTAAACAGATACCCAGGGGCTTTGTTTTCTTTAAATTCTTAACTTCCCTTAGGGTGTTGTTGTTTTGGTTGGTTGTGCTTTAGTGGAGCTAGCATTGGGCTGATCTTTTCGGCTTACCAGATTCTATTTGTTCAATGGTTTACTTAGTTATAGGGACTTGGACATGTTGTTTAACGTCCCTGAACTGCAGTTATTTTATGTATGAAATAAGATTGATACTCCTGCCCTGCCCATCAGTAATTGTAATCATGATCATAATCGTAATAGTACAAATGAGTAATAGAAATAATATAAATGAGTTTTGTGAAAAGTAAAATGCCACATAAATATTAGGTGCTACTTGTGTGTAAGTTTGCACTTTCCAAGAGAAACGTGGCAGAGTTCTAGGGTGTCACTGGCTAGAACTTAAATGGGAGGACCTCCCCCGGGGAATCCATGTCTGATTAGAGAAAAGTCTATAAAGGTGACCCTGAACCTTTATTTTGGCATGTGATTACCAGCTGGGATCACTAATATGAATGCTCAAAGGGGTGCAGTTATGTCTGATCTGTCCTGATTTGCTTGTTTCTTTAACTTAACTCAGTGACCAATAGCTATCAGCTATCAACTTCTGCGTATTTTCAGCTTAGTAAATAATCAACAGTTTACTGTTGTAGTTCACTAAACAGCTGTTGTAGTTTACTGTAACAGTTTACTAAAACTATTTCAAAAATTTTAACTAAATGGTTGGTTTTTTCTTTTTATGGGCATAGAACGTATAGCACCTATGATCACAGGAAACTTGGAGAATCAAACGGCAAGTATTGGTGAAACCATTGAAGTTTCATGCACAGCATCTGGGAATCCTCCTCCACAGATCACATGGTTTAAAGATAATGAAACACTTGTAGAAGACTCAGGTGACTAGAACTCCTCTCTCTATTGTTGGTTGCAGAGTTTTCCCAGAGATAATATCTAAAACCCATATTATTTCTTGATTTACTTTAAGTTTGGGGAAGAAAAGCAGCATTAGTGTACATGATCTGGCTCATTTCATAGATATGCACTTAGAGTATTCAAAAAGCCGTGTTGAATTCAGAAAGAGTGATGAAGGAGGCTCCTGGCCTTGCCATGTCCAGGAAATACGTGCTCACGATTAACTGGTTTTCTTCCCTAGGGACCTCTAAGTTGTTTTCCAAAAATTATTCTTAGAAATAGACTAGAGGCCAATACATGGAAGCTGGGATATCAGTCAGCAGTTGATGCTATATGATGCTTTGACGTTAAATAATAGCCCAAGGTTAAGTTCATCATTTATATTTTAAAAAAATTTTCTGGAAAAACATCATCATAAATAAGAATAACCATTTTCCCGTCTTTTAGGCATCGTGTTGAAAGATGGACATCAGAACCTAACTATCCGCAGGGTAAGGAAAGAGGATGAAGGCCTCTACACCTGCCAGGCCTGCAATCTTCTTGGATGTGCAAAAGCAGAGACCTTTTTCATAATAGAAGGTCAGTGGGGATTCATAGACATGTCAGGTGGTTTTTAAAAACTAGCTTGCGTCTTAGATATATCCATACACTTTGGGAGGGAGGATTATGGGTGACTTTTATCTTCTCTGTACTTTGTAAATTTTCTTCATTAAGTATGTATTATTTTAACCAGAAAACATAATGATGTTAATTTAATTCTGCTCGCACCACTTTTACTACTCCTGCAGTTTTCACTGCAGAAGAATTCTTAGCTAAGCAGGCTGAATATCTTCCTCTCCCTGATTCTTTCTCATCTGAATGGCTTTCTTAACTTGTCACAGAATTGATGCCTGTATTTATTTGGAAAAGCATTAGAATTCCTGGCGAATCATGAAAGTCCGGGCTACTCAGATAGTCACAGAGGTTCATAGTTTTCATTGGGCTAAAGATAATTAAGAGTCATTTGTGAACAATAGACTATTGCTTCTCTGAAATGGAAAATTTTTGGTTCTTCTCTAAATGTGAAAGAAAACGTGCATGGGTATGTGGAAGTGATGTGAAATCTGGCATTTTCTCAGACAGGAAAGGTAATTTGTGACAGAAAATTTTATTTTAAGAAGAGTATTTCTGTGTCTTTTTTTTATAACCCACCAAGGGAACAATGAAATTGTATTGTGTGGGTGAAGGAATGGGATGCAAGGGAAAGAAAGAAGGAGTGGTGATAGATGGGGAATTGATGGATTTCTGTGAACTCAACAAAACTTGTCTCTCCAAGTCTAGATTTTAGTCCTCTTAATCTGTCAAATCTATGTAGCAAAGTATTGCATCTCAATACCCAGACATGTTTTCAAATCTGTAGGCTTATTACCATTTCATAAACTGCACTTGCAAATAAAGACTTCATAGAATGTGGTGGTTTTGTCACTTCCAAAGGGATTCATGTTTTAGAGCAAATCCTAGGAAGGACTTCCAGATTAGATTCTCTCTGACGCTCTGCCTTGCCTGTGTTAGCCGTCTGCAGTTGATTACCAACGCCTGACCAGGTAACACTGGCATAGAGATTATATTGACGTCTCACCTGGAGAATACTAAGAAAGAGAGAGGTTGATATTTAATACACCTGCTAGGTTCCCAAATGTTAATATGGGAATATTAATACATGAACTAGGTATCCCGGGGTGGCACAGATTGTTAAGTGCTCGACTACTAGCTGAAAGGTTGGTGGTTCCAACCCACTCAGAGGCACCTCGGAAGACAGGCCTGGCGATCTGCTTCTGAAAGCTCACAGCCTTGAAAACTCTGTGGAGCAGTTCTACACTGTACATATCGGGGTAGCCACGAGTCAGAGTCCACTTGACAGCAACTAACAACAATACATGAACTAAGGTAGACAATTGAATTTTTGAAATTTTCACTGTGTATAAATGGACTTTTAAATTCCTATGTATAAAGAGTGAATTATTTTAGTAGGACCATTAAACAAATAAATCTACTCCCAAGCATACTTAGTGCTTGTCTCTCAACTCTTAACAGCTCTTATTTTGCTAACTAATTAATTATTTGTCTTTCTGCCTTCTTGAAGCTGCCGTGGACCCCTCTTTCACAGCTTGTAGCCCAGTTTGACTCACCTTGTGCTCATCTAATAGGTAGACCCTAGGTGATAATTGCTTCCTTATCACCTCTTTGTTAATCACTCTCAGTTGAAAGCCTCCTCCAGCATTTAATTCCTCCCACTCAGAGCTGCCCTCTGGAGCCCTGAGCATCTGCAGCTTTCCTTGCTAACCTCTAGCTTTTCCTCTTCTTTTTCATGGGTAACCTCTGCTGGCCATGTGTGATGTGCTGTCTCAGCTCTCTCTCTCTGCCTCACTTAGTCTCCTGCCGCACAGAGACAGGGTAGTGTAATGGGTAGTTGGTGTTGGATAGACTTTGTTCAATTTTTGAACAGATCACCAAGATCACTGTGTGCCCTCAATCAAGTAGCTTGGCCTCTCTGAGCTTTGGTTTCTTCATCTGAAAACCAAGGATTGTTGAGAAAATTAAGTGGGATGACATATTTAAAGTGATGAGCACATACTAGGTGCATGCTCACCAATAGCTCTCTGGCCAAAGCACTCCATTTATTTCCCTACTTTATTTCTTAAACAACTTTTTCTCAAGCTTTTCAGAGATCAAAACAGACTTATTAGTTTCCTACGGCTGCCAAAAAGCAAAAACAAAAACAACCCACAAATTGGGTAGCTTAAAACAACAGAAATTTATTCTCTCACAGTCATGGAGGCTAGAAGTCTGAAGTCAAGGTGTTGGCAGGGCTGTGCTCTCTCTGAAGGCTTTAATGGGAGAGCCTTTCTCTTAGCTTCGGGTGTTGCTGGCAATCCTTGGCATTCCTTGGCTTGCAGATGCATCACTTTAATCTCTGTTTCCACTGTCACATGACATTCTACCTGTGTCTCTGTCTCTTCTCCTCTTCTTATAAGGATACCAGTTATATTGGATTAGGGCCTACCCTAATGACCTCATCTTAACTTGATTACATCTACGAAGACCCTAGTTCCAAATAAGGCCATATCACAGGTACCAGGGGTTAGGACTTCAACATTTCTTTTGGGGGGACACAATTCAATCCATAACAACAGACTATCAGTATAAAACCAAACTGTTATTTTCCCAAGTAGAAATACTTTTCTTCTTTATAGAACGTCACCTGTTTTATTTCCATCAAAGAGGTCTCTTCCGCTGAACACTTTCTACGTTTGTCTTTTAAGATGTTAATGATTTTATTACTAATTACTTTAGGATTTTACTGCTGGAAATTTTCATGAGCAATACTTTGCAAACTGTAAATTTTCCCCTAAGAATGTTGTAGATTCCATCCAAGTTAGATGCTTTGACTATTCTATGATTTTTCCACATTGGAAAGATTGAGATATTACTTTAGTGTTAAACTTTGTCATCTTATCTCAAAAAGTATGAGCTGCCAACCGTTGATGCTCATTCAGTTGTGTCTTTCCAGGTGCCCAGGAAAAGACAAACTTGGAAGTCATTATTCTAGTAGGCACTGCAGTGATTGCCATGTTCTTCTGGCTACTTCTTGTCATCATTTTAAGGACCGTTAAACGGGTAACAAAATAATTTCCTTTCTGTTCCATGCTTGTTGGTTTTCATGATTAATGAAAGCTGACTAGGGTTTGTTGAGTTGCTTCTTCCCATTGTAATGGGCACATTTTTCTTTCAATGTAATAACATTCCTGCCCACTTTCTTCTGGCTGGGCCACTGGACTTTAATTGATAGAAGCCACTAGAGAGGAAAAGGGCTTGGACTGTCTGGTGTAATTAAGATTTAAGAATTTATCCGGAGCTCATTTGGGGAATGAAGGGACATTGGAAACAAGATAGTAATGTGACTACTCTCATACTCCGTGAGTTTTATTGGAAAATGAGACATCAGGAGTGAGGCTCCTATAAACAACAATAACAAGCACACAAAACAGCAGGCAAACAACAGGGTGTATGTGACTGGAAGGATTGATGTTTTCCAGGCCAATGGAGGAGAACTAAAGACGGGCTACTTGTCCATTGTCATGGATCCAGATGAACTCCCCTTGGATGAACACTGTGAACGTTTGCCTTATGATGCCAGCAAATGGGAATTCCCCAGAGACCGGCTGAAACTAGGTGTGTCTTCATGTAATATTAATTTGGTATTGGGCTTACTAGACCATCTCATCCTCCTTTAGGATTATGACAAATCTACTCTACTTGAATGTCAGATTCTAGTTTAGATATATTTAGTTTGTCTCTTGAATTTGGGTAATCATCAATTTAGTCACCCAGAAGTAGGCTTCCTGTATAATTTATATTCAAACTATGACATTTGGAGAGTGAAGGAGGAACAATTAAATAATTAAGCAAAGACAAGGGAGTAAACCATTAAATTGGAATGTATGGCCGCCCTATCTAGTTGGGACCTCTGCATATCACTTTGGTGGTGTAATAATCCAAGTCTGTTTTATTGTTACTGTTATTGTTGACTCTAGGCAAACCTCTTGGCCGTGGTGCCTTCGGCCAGGTGATTGAAGCAGATGCTTTTGGAATTGACAAGACGACGACTTGCAAGACAGTGGCTGTCAAAATGTTGAAAGGTAAAAATGTTACATGGTAATGTATCTTTCTGTCTTATCCAGTCTTTAAACATGACAGCATAGCTTGTATCAGTGGCTCTGTGGTTAGTTGGACCTACTAGCCAAACATGCAGCCAACCTACCTATATGATGCCTTTGTGCAAATTGGAAAAACGTTCCTCCTTTACACTCTCATGTCAGGGGTTGAATTTCAGCTCCTCACTTCCCTACCTTGCCTGGCAACCTTTGTGCAGGATACAGCTTGTACAACTGTACTTAGTGGTCCTGGCTACAGGACAAAAATACTGTGGTTATATTAAAATTCTTTCTTAATAAATATTTATGGTGTGTTAATAACTATAGACTATCTAGAAACATGAAAAGGATTTTGATATAATAAAAAGAGTAGAATGCAAAAACAACACATTCCCTAGAATTAGTTATGTAAACGATCTTCACATATAAAGGTAATATGCAAAAATAAGAATGGTTGTGCTAGGAAAGGAAGGGTTGTAGGTGATTTTTTTTTTTTTTTAAATTAAAACTTCTATAAATAATTGTTGCTTTTTATTTAAGAAAAACATTTAAAGAGTCTTGCCAGCTTATGAGGAGAGGACCTAGCAGTTTGGGAGTGCTCAGATCATATATTTTACAGCTTCATAGAAATGTTGGGTACAGTTAATCCGGATAGTAATGGAATTCTTAGGTTGCCATTTTAATTTGGATAGGTAATGCAATTTTCCTCTTGGTGCCAATTCTGATGTGCTGTCTTTTATTGCTGAAGACAGTACTACTGACACTTTTCCAATTGGTCTATGTGTTTTAAAGCCATCTCTCTCCTTTTGCCCATTCTCCCTTGTGGCCACAGGGGTGTGTAATTTTGAGGTAGCTCATCAGAGCTTGGAGTGTGGACCGTGTCTATGAATTAGAGGGGAGTGTACCAACTCATATCAGTATCAGACTCACAGCCTTAGTCCCATCAGCCCTATTGCCCAACTGGGCTTGCCAGCTGGCCCTTGGTAAGTTTCTTGATTGGCACAGATCTGCTGGAATATCAGCCAGTCCTTAACACACGATGATGTTTAATACATGGTGTTACTTCCTTATGAGGACGCACTGACATAATCAGGCCCTAAGAAGCATAGTAAGCCTGATATATGAAATCCATTTTTGTAAAAGAAATGGGCATGATTCCGTTTGCAGATGTGTTCTACACTTAGCAAAAAGACTTTGTAATGGAGCTCTTTAAATATTAAATGTGTCTGGTGCACTTAAATAATTTAAGTAAAAGAGTTTGATTTATAATTAGAAAATACAATTTACACTTGACTTTTGAGGAAACATCGCTAGTATATAAATGAGGTAACAGTTGTATTATCCCTGGACAGTGAGGTACACAGTTGTGGTAAGCAGAGAAAGGGGCATTAATCATCCTAAGGTCATGCCCACATGTATGACTTCCCGCTTTGCTCTGTATTCATAGAAGGAGCAACACACAGTGAACACCGAGCCCTCATGTCTGAACTCAAGATCCTCATTCATATCGGCCATCACCTCAACGTGGTCAACCTTCTAGGTGCCTGCACTAAGCCAGGAGGTTAGTATCTCTGAATGGTTTCGGTTGCTTCATTTTGATGCATGCTTCACTGCTGGTATTTGGGGGAAACCTCTCAGCTTCCATGGCCTTGATTTCCTTAACTTAGGAAGCTTTGTCAGATTCCTAGATATATATTTCATGGAGGTTTAACAGCACAATAATTAAATTATTCTAAAACTTCCTGTGAATTAAGAAATGCCACGTCGCTATTTGCTACTTGTGTAATAGATATAGGAGCCCTGGTGGTACAGTGGTTAAGCAGCTTGGCTACTAACGAAATGGTCAGTGGTTCAAACCCACAAGCTGCCCCGCAGGAGAAAGATGTGGCTATCTCCTTCCATAAAGATTATAGCCTTGGAAACCCCATGGGGCAGATCTACTCTGTCCTGTAGGGTCTCTCCAAGTCAGAGTCAACTCAACGGCAATGGGTTTTGTTTTTTTTTTTTGTTCCCAAACGAAGATTACATAGCCTTCTTCTAAGGCATATTCAGGGTTATTGATGTGCTAGGTACTCAGTAAGAAACATAAGTGAAAACACATTTTACTTTCTTAACATGCTGTGCTGTCTGCAGGGCCACTCATGGTGATTGTGGAATTCTGCAAGTTTGGGAACCTATCAACTTACTTAAGGAGCAAGAGAAACGAATTTGTCCCCTACAAGGTATGGCATTTCCCACATTGTAAAATAGGGGAAAACTCAAAGTGGTATATGTTAGCTTTCCAGTTGAAATTCCATGAAGAACTTGTGAGGGACCTTCTCACATTACCTCTTGCCTGACCTAGCTTTCTGTTTTAGCTTCTAAGGGAAATATGTTTCTCATGCATTATTTTTCTGAATTTCATATACTGACCCATTATAGATGGTGCCAGAGGAAGGGAGAAGGTGGGTGTGATTAAGGAAAGGGAAAGACAGAGGAAAGGACATTTCTAGATTATTCTCTCTCTATCCTAGCTATATTTGGCCCCACAGAGTGTAAATCTCTCTCGGTAAAGAGCATCCTAGTGTTGGAAGTCTGTCTGAGTGCAGCTTCAAACAAGGCATTTATCTCTTTAAGCTGTAGAAGAAGCTGGGCTTTATGGCCACCACCTGTCTGTCAATTTGTCATACTGTGGTGGCTTGCATGTTGCTATGATGCTGGAAGCTATGCCATTGGTATTTCAAATACCAGCAGTCATATGTGATGGACAGGTTTCAGCAGATCTTCCAGACTAAGACAGACTAGGAAGAAAGACCTTCCAAAAATTAGCCAATGATAGAAAACCCTATGGATCACAACAGTATATTGTCTGATATACTGCTGGATGATGAGCCCTCTAGGTTGGAAGACTCTTAAAATACACAGTGGCTGCAACAGTGGACTCAAACATATCGACAATCATGACGATGGAGCAGGACCGAGCAACATTTCATTCTGTTATACTTGGGGTTGCCATGAGTCAGAGGTGACTCGTTGGCAGCTAACAATAGGCTTTATGGAAGCAAATCTATTATATAAAAAACTTGCCCAAAATTTCAGCTCAGAGACCACATCATCTTGGAATTTATGTCTTTCTTGTCTGCTTTTTAATAGTTTCAATTGTTTCTATGTTTTACTACATTTTAGGTCCAGTCTGTAGTCACGTTGTTTATTTCTTTATAGACCAAAGGAGCACGATTCCGTCAAGGGAAAGACTATGTTGGGGAAATCCCTGTGGACCTGAAACGCCGCTTGGACAGCATCACTAGTAGCCAGAGCTCAGCCAGTTCTGGATTTGTTGAGGAGAAGTCCCTCAGTGATGTGGAGGAGGAGGAAGGTATCTGCCATTGCTTCCTCTTTGCTTAACACATGCTTTTGTAGGAATTGACAAGGTGACAGGATGCTACAAGGAATTTTGTAATGTGAAGAATCCAATGTTACCTCCTACTTGAAAGAGACTTGACTTTCTAGACTGTCTCCATTCAGTCTCCCCAAAAGTGGACTTAGGGAGCCCTAAATAATCAGCAGGCTAGGTTATAGGGTAAAACAGGGCTAGCTTGAGAAATATGGGTACCCCAGGAGGGCTAAGCAGTTGGCAGTAATCAAACTGATATTCTGAAAATATTGGTTCAATATTTATTACCAGGAGGGGCTGAGTACTATGTTCCAGAAGGGCAAACAAAGAGGCTCTGTGGTTGATTAACCTCCTTATTGCCCTGTGTGGTTCAACCCCACATTTCATACTTCACCAGCGTAACAGAAGGTTTTCAGGTAATCATACTCAATCTCCTACAAGGCAGTTTGAGGGTCATTTGCTGTTTATGCCCCATCCTAAGCAGCTTACCCAAGTATTCATTCTAACCATATTTCCTGAGAGGAGTTTTGGTAAATATACTTTTCTTTATCCAGTTGCCTTTTCAGTGATATTCTAGTGTTCTTTATGAGTGGAGCCATGGCACCAGCCTAACTCTTCCACAAGTAAACCCAGCTCCAGGGTACATACACTGTATATCTTCTTCCCTCAAAAGGAGCAGAGACAGCTCCGTGGATATAGAGATAGGGCTTTTTGACATCTGGCTTCTCTTGAGGTGTAAGCTTAGAAGAATCAAGTCATGAAACAGTGGAAGAAACCTGCTTGACATGGGCCTACAGATAGGCCTAGGTAAATCTAACTTCCTTCCTTAGAAGCTAAGCAGGCAGTGTGAGGCTGGAGTCTGGTCTACAGGTCCCTGGGGAGGTTGTGTAGGCCTCATGTAACTGGACTCACACTGAGTGGAGTGCCATCTTTGCCCAGTGGCTTCTCTCTCACAAAATGATGGTCAGTGAGCTGAAAACCTAAGGGATTGAGGTAGTATGTTGGACTAGAAAAGGTGCTGGCCTTGAATTTGGCCTCCATTTTCTTCATCTGAAAAATGAAGAGGTGTCACTAATCGTTCACGAAGACCACTCTAGCCCTAAGCATAATGAGTTATTGAGAAAATGCTCACAGGCTTTTTAATATTTGTTGTTGTTGGGTGCTATTGAGTTGATTTTCAACTCATAGTGACCCCGTGTGACAGAGTAGAACTGCCCCATAAGGTTTTCTAAGCTGCAGTCTTTATGGAAGCAGGTCACCAGGTCTTTCTCCCACTGAGCCGTGGGGTGAGTTCAAACCCCCAATCTTTTAGTTAGCAGCTGTGCCACCAGGGCTCCTTTTAATATTTACAAGGTTATTATTATAGCTCAATTTTCATTTACACTGGTCTTTGTCTCCAGGAAAGAGGCCATAAGTCTTATTTGACCAAATTTAAGAGATTATTTTGAAAACACCCATGACGTCTGTAGTGTTTATTTGTACCAGTTGTAATAAATACAATCAGTTTATGTAAATTCATCTTATTTCAATAGTCCTGTTATCTCTCATTCATATCCTTGAAGAAGCAAAAAAGCATCTTTATGGGCCAGATTTAATGTGTCCACAGCACTTTTTCAGCTTGAAAGTGAGAGAAGTAAATATATTTCTGATATTTTTAGTTATCCGTTGTAGATTATAGTTTGACCTTTGGCCTTTGTCCCAGGAAAAAGCCTGGAAAGAAAAAAATTCAATGACCCTGAAGATTGTTGCTTTATTTTTAGAGTTCTTGATATGAAACAATCATTTATCCCTCTGGGTACATGAGAAAAAACAAAAAAAACAACAATTTAAAACAGTAAATTTGACAAAGTCCTCTTTAGCTCCCTGTTGTCTATGCTGATTTTACCTCCATTCTGCCTCCTAGATTTACTGGTTTAATTTGACTAAAATGGAAAAAGAAGCAACATTTTTCCTAAGGGGTATGATGAAAGTGAATAATACTGAGATTCAGCAAATCTATAGATGATAGAGACATTTTCATTCTGCATCCAGTTCTTGAAACTCCCCCAAAACCAAACCCATTGCCATCGAGCTGATTCCGACTCATGGCGACCCTATAGGACAGGGTTGAACTGCCCCATAGGGTTTCCAGGGAGCAGCTGGTGGATTCGAACTGCTGACCGTTTGGTTAGCAGCCAAGCTCTTAACCACTGCCCCACCAGGGCTCCTTGAAACTCCCAGGTCTTAAAATTATCATTAGTCCAACAAACTTGGAAATAATAGGACTGAAATACTGACCTCCGTCATCCTGCTTCCTCTGACAGTTTCTGAAGATGTGTACAAGAACTTCCTGACCTTGGAGCATCTCATCTGTTACAGCTTCCAGGTGGCTAAGGGCATGGAATTTTTGGCATCAAGAAAGGTAACTGCCTCAAGGGGAAATAAACTGTCTCTTCAGATCACAGATTTGGAAATAAGGTGTCAAGACCAGCCACTGGTGCTTGTTTGGAGCTGTGATCATCTCTACTCCTTTGATTATTAAAAGAGATGAAAGGAGAAAGCCCTGTTTCTGCTAGTTGTTAAGGGAATATAAAGATTTCATGAAATTAATTCATATGATACGTATACTTATTGAGCATCTTTTGAATGCTAGGCAGCGTTCTGAGCACCAGGAATACTGTAGTGAACAAACGGGCAAAACTGTCCACCCTCATGGATTTGACATTTTATTGGATGGAGACGAACGAACGAAATAAATAAACAGAATATGTAGTAGGTTAGTAGGTTAAAACCAGTTGCTGCCAAGTCAATTCCAATTCACGGCAACCCCATGTGTGTTAGAGTATAACTGTGCTTTATAGGGTTTTTAATGGCTGATTTTTTGGAAGTAGATTACCAGGCCTTTCTTCTGAGGCACCTCTGGGTGGACTTGAACCTCCAACCTTTCAGTTAGCACTCGAGTGTGTTAACTCTTTGCACCACCCAGGGACTCCATGGAGTAGGTTAACCAAAAAACACAAACCAAGCCAGTTGCCGTTGAGTCATTGACTCAACAATGACTCATGTGTGTCAGATGATAAATATATCATCTCAATGGCTCACTGCTCAGTGGCTGATGTTTGGGGGAAATAAATTGCCAGGCTTTTCTTTTGAGGTGCCTCTGGGTGAACTTGAACCGCCAACCTTTAGCAGCCGAGCATGCTGTCTGCACCACCCAGGGACTCCATAAAGCAGGTTAGATGGGATTAAATGCTGTGGAAAAAAATAAAGCAAGAATGGTATGTTTGTGTGTGTGTATGCTTCTGTGGGTGTGTATTTCAATTTTAAACAAGGTGGGCAGAAGCCTTTGCTAAGGGTGTGACATTTGAGCAATGACCTCAAAGAGCTGAGGGTCCAAGCCTTGTAGATATTTTGGTGTAAGAGAGTCTATTTTTAATTTATTTTACATCCATCACCATCCATCAAAAAGTATTTGTTTGTAGTATAATTAGAAACCAGCCAGGACAGGCTTCAGATGAGAGCGATTAAAAGAGCTAAAATTAGAAAAGTAGGCCAAACAAAAGCTGAGGTGGGGACGTGACAAGTTACAAATATTCCGAAGGTTGTAAACACCACTGAGGGGGAAGATTGGTTGAAGCTGCCCCTCAGGAAAGAGTAAAATGGACGGCTTTACAGTAAAGAAGGAAAATTCAAATTGAATTTCAGGAAAAACTGTCAGTTGACAATATTTGTTTGACTGCTGCAGCCTCCTGAGGGAAGGAAGACTTAAGGTTTATTTTTTACTTCTTCTAAATTAAAGTGAAATTCCTCATCCATTTATTTTTCTGAAGTTTAAAGCTTCTACAGCATTCAGACCTTAGGATCTCAGATGCTTCTGCCGGGTTGCTCATGTGTTTTCTCTTTCAAGGGGATGAGAGAGAAGTGGGGTCATATGGGGTTTTTGCCCTTTTTGAAGATTCTGATTTTTTTTTTTTAAGGTCAGAACTCACCATTTGGTCAGGATTCCTTTTGGCTACTGGAAGGGAATGGGGAGTCCTTTAACTTCCCTTCCATCTACCAAGTGATTTCTTGAGTACCCAACACCTGGTTGTTTGGCTGAAAAAGAAAGCAGTTTGATTAGGGAGAATCTAGAAAGCTCTGATTTTTGGAATCCCTGTCTTGTTCAGTAATGCTAGAGAATATGCTTCTGGAAATGCCCTTGTTCAGTGGAAAGTTCTATATGAATGTGACGGGCGGGGTGGTCAGTTAGTTCCCAGCTCACATGGTCACAGGAACTTCTACAGGGACTTAGAATTCTCATCTAAGGCGTTCATTCATTTTCAAACGTTCTCTGAAACTCCTACCCTCTCTCATTTGGGGGCCCAAATTTACCATGTGGAGCTAAAGCAGCTTAGAAGTAGAAAGTTAGATGACGGTAGGAGATAAAGTAAAAAGAGAAACTGGAGAGATGAAAAGAATAGAAGGAAAGCCAAGGTGAGTTGAGGTTTACTTTTTCCTGCACTAGAGAGTCAGCTTGATTACTGATAGGCTGAAATTGCTTTAATGGACCTTTATTCTCTCCTTCTATGTGAGAGACCTGATTCCCAGCTAATGCACCTCATGTGCAGCCACTGTCCGTCTGTCAGTGGAGGCTTGCATATTGCTATGGTACTGAACAGATTTCAGCAGAGCTTCCAGACCAAGATGGATTAGGAAGAAAAGCCTGGTGATCTACTGAAAATCAGCCAACGAAAACCCAATGGATCACAATGGTTCAATCGCATTGTACATGTGGTTGCAATGAGTTAGGTGCGACCTGATGGCAGCAACAATAACAGTAATGATAACTCAGCACTTTGAAAACAGAATGAACCCCACTGGGAATTATTTGTCAGAGCCAGTCCAGCCTCAGTTACATATGGAATGGGGACACCAACAAAGAGAACCAAACCAATGCGAGTTCCCGTTTTTGATTTCCATGCAGTCACTCAAAATAAATCCTGTCCTGCGGCCTCTTTAGAATAACACGTTTTAGCCACATATGGCGCCAGGCAAAGGGGATATGTGGATGTGACCAGGAACACATTCTTCATTGTGTCCTAGAGAAATCTATTTATGACTCCGTAATCATATTATAACTTACTTATTTAACTCCAAAAGCTGGGACTGTTTATGGGTAAAGCAGATGTGTGTTTCAATGACACTCCCAGACTTCTTTCCTGAAGTATTAAGAAAAGATACTAACCCAGTCCTGTGAGTCGGAATCAACTCACAGGCAACGGGTGTGGGTTTCTTGTTTTTTGTTTGTTAATTGGTGGATTTTCTGATGTGGGATTTCTTTTTTCAAGCCCGAGGTCACGACAGATGTAGAGGAGATCAGCTGTGCCCACATCTAATGCACACACGATTCTCTTTGCAGTGTATCCACAGGGACCTGGCAGCACGGAATATCCTCTTGTCGGAGAAGAATGTGGTTAAAATCTGTGACTTTGGCTTGGCTCGGGATATTTATAAAGACCCAGATTATGTCAGAAAAGGAGATGTAAGTTTCAAAGTGCCCAGTGATCTATTAAATTGCAGAATTCAAACTCCTTGTAGCAAGCTTCAGGAACATGTGTTCAGAAACAAAGGAAGTGCTTTCTTTAGATATTTGCTAATTTGGGGTCTGTCTTCTACCCTCTTAGGCTCGCCTCCCTTTGAAATGGATGGCCCCAGAAACAATTTTTGACAGAGTGTACACAATTCAGAGTGATGTGTGGTCTTTTGGTGTTTTGCTCTGGGAAATATTTTCTTTAGGTAAGTTGTCTCTCTTTGTCCCGCTATCCAGGCTTCAAATAGAATAATAAAAAAGTGGCCCCAAAATGCCTTTCCCTCTTTTGTACTTCACCTTTATGGAGTGGAAGTCCCTTGGAATCTTTGGATTATACAATTAAAAAAATTAATAGAATAAAATCGATGGAATATAGGTGAGGATATGCAAGAATTAGACTCAGGGCTTTCTAGAAGAGAAAATCAAATCAAATAATGTCCTACTCATGTTTTATTCTAGGAGCTTCTCCATATCCTGGGGTAAAGATTGATGAGGAATTTTGTAGGCGACTGAAAGAAGGAACTAGAATGAGGGCCCCTGACTATACCACACCAGAAATGTGAGACTTTAAAAGTATCCTTCTGTGTTCTTCCTTTGTTCACAGATTCTGCTGCTTAAAACTTTCCATTATATATACTTTGTTTGTGCCCCAGTTTGTGTCCTACCTCCTCCTTGAAGTCTTTTTTGGTAATCTTAAACTCAGGATCATCTCTTTCTTCTTTGAACAACAGTGCTTTCTTACCTCTACTAACCAATTAGCTGTTATTAGATGTTGATTTGTAATGTTCTCTCTTTTCTACACAAGTTTGACCCTCCAAGTGTAGGGATCTGCGTCTTTCAGGTTCTCATTTAACATCTCTACTCATGATAGGCTCCTTATAAATGTTCACTCATTCAACTGCTTGTTTTCAGCATCAGATCCAGAAGGAAAGAGGCAGTTAATGAAATCAATGTCTTACTTCTCTAGGTACCAGACCATGCTTGACTGCTGGCATGGGGAGCCCAGTCAGAGACCTACATTTTCAGAGTTGGTGGAACATTTGGGAAATCTCTTGCAAGCTAATGCCCAGCAGGTTTGTAACCTCCATTTAAGAGGCTTGTGCAAAGGGTACCTAGGGGTACAGGGCTCCCCACTGCGTGGGCTTTCTCCTGGTTACCAGTCTATCCTCTCTGCAGTGAATAAGGAGCAGTATTCTTCCAGATCGGAGCAGTAATACTCTGCTGAAAGTTGTTATCATTCTTGTAGACAGATGAGGTCCTGATTTATAACCTGGGAGCATGCCACTTTTATTCCTACCTATTTATCTTTATGTTAACTCATCAAATGCCTTTCTAAAGGAAAAAAAAAAAAATCTGATGGAGCCACAGAAGATTAACAATGAAAAGGAATTCCAAGGAATTTTTAATAATATCATCAGGCAAAAACAAATCCAACCCATGGAAAATAGATGGCTCTTCCCTTGGTAAAATCCGAAGTTCCTATAACTTCCCTTGGAGAATTTTAGAGTTGTAACCTTTACTATTGGAAGATTATTCAATCTCTAGTCAATGCCTCTTACGACAATGGAAGCCAATTTCCTTCAGTTTTTCTTTCGAACAGCTGAGGGACAATGGATTAAATCTGTTTTTATCTGTAAACCTTCCAAAGATTTGAATGTATCAAATAACCCTTCATTTCTTTCTCTTGGCTAAATAATACCAAATAGAGTTGCCTTTTCTCAGAAGACCCATTTTCCTGCCCATTTATTGCTTTTCTTTAGATTGTCATCAGTTTTTTCCATTGCCTTGAAATATAGAGACTAAAAATTGGATGACATGCTGTTTAAAAAGGACCTGAGTCGTGTAAAGAGGGTTTTGCAAAGAAATGGTTTATCAACTCTGTTCAGCACAGATTGCGTAGCTGTACGTGGATGACGGCACCCTGCTTTGTCTCCACTGTAACCACAGTTCTCTGTGGAGCTCTTACTCATCTTGTTTTTAGTTAGCTCATTCCGTACTCCTTCATGGACACACATCCCTTTCAAGTGCCCTTTGATTTTTTTTTGGCTGTTTTGTTTCTGTCTTGTGGTTTTTTTTTTATTTATTGTGGTAAATTTATAGGTAACAAGGCATTTGTCATTTCAACAATCTTCACATGTACAGTTCAGTGGTATTGAATATGTTTATCATGTTGTTCAACTGCCCTTTTGTTTTTGATAAACCATTTTTAATGTGGTCTTAAAGTTCTGTGTTCAGATATGAAAGCAACATAGCCCATAGCCAAGACGCCCCCGTGGCTTTGTTTTACATGAAAAGGCCCTTGAAGGCCCAAAGCCATAACAGTAGCACTCTGTGTATATTGTTTCAGGACGGCAAAGACTACATTGTTCTTCCGATATCAGAGACTTTGAGCATGGAAGAGGATTCTGGACTCTCTCTGCCTACCTCACCTGTTTCCTGTATGGAGGAAGAGGAAGTGTGCGACCCCAAATTCCATTATGACAACACAGCAGGAATCAGGTACTGTATACGGTCAACATCTCCGCAGAGGGCTTCAAGGCCACCTTGGAGAGGGCGAGTGGAAGGAAGACATTCTCTAAAGCTGCTGCATCCCACTTCCACATTTAACCTCAGCCCTGAGACTAATATCGGGAGCAGGGAGGGGGGTGCTCCTGGAAGAGAGCCTGGGTAGGTGCGTTTCCTCCCATCTGTACCGCACGTTGTCACCACAGCTTGCTCTTTCGGAATCCCAAGCCCTGCAGCTGCAAATAGCTGGAATGCCACAGTTTGTTAATCTCCGGAAAAAGAGACCAGTTTCACAAAGACATCTGTATTTAAATAATCACCATGTATGCTTTTATTAATGTGAATTAAATGGCTTAGGAAGAGTTCAGGAGGAAGAGTTTCTGTGCATATATGAAAACTCAGTATGCCTCTCTGGCTAAGATACAGCATACCGTGGGGAAGTGTCCTGAATTAGACTGGACATTGCATCTTCAGAAGCTCCTCCCAAGTCTGATTTTCAGCATTTATTTACATAATGGGACTTCTGGGCTGATTTAAAAACACATGTACTGCAGTCCTTTACTGATTTGGAAAGGGGTTCAGAAGGCAGCTTTCTTTTTTCTCTGTCCCAGCACCTGTACATAAGGAAAAAATTGATATGGCTTTCTACAGTATGATATTAAAATTGCCTTTTACTAAGCCAGGGACTGCTTCACTTTTCTTTGTTTCTTTTCCAACCCGTTTGGGTATTTTCCTCTTTTAACTCCACAGTCACTAAAAAAACAGTCACCAACAAGTTGATTCCGACTCATGGAGACCCCATGTGTGTCGGAGTAGAGCTGTGCTCCATAGGGATTTCAGTGGCTGATTTTTCGGAAGTAGATCACCCCGACTTTCTTCTGAGGCGCCTCTGGGTGGACTCAAACCTCTAACCTTTTGGTCAGCAGCTGAGCATGTTAACTGTTTGCACCACTCAGGGACCTCCCTAGAGTTACTGGATCCCTGAAAGCTTGGGCCCAGCCAGCCCTCCTGAGAGACTTGTGGCTGTCGGTCGTGCGGGACAATGCTATCGTGTGTCTGGCGCTTTGCTACGTCGCCAGGTCACAGCTGATGCTGAGGAGGTGCACAGGGACAGTTTGGCCCATGGAACTCATGCAGGGTAGTGGGGACTTTGTGATGAGAGAGAAGAAAGCTTAGAATGCTTGGAAGCCAACAAGTTAGCTTCTCATTCCATTTACGTCAAGAACTTGGGACATTTTTTTAAAGAATGTTTCCATACATTATCTGATTTGGCTCGCATAACAACTTTCAGGGTTAGGCAAGGTAGAAGCTATTATCTTTTTCGATGTAGATGTTGAACATGAGGCTTAGAGAGATTAAGTGGAGGTAGTACAATATTGTGATTAAAGATCTAGATATTTGAGTCAGATAGAACTGTGTTGGACTCTCGAGGCTGCCTCTTAGCAGCTGTGTGACTTTGGGCAAATCATTTAATCTTTCCTTTAGTTTCCTCATTTATGAAATGAGGCAAGGTCACTGGTATTGTTTGCAAATGGTTGTTTTGAGGTTTATGTGATATAATGTGTTTCTAAGTGCCACTTAGGAAACAATAAATGATAGCTATTAAGGAGCCCCAGTGGGGCAGTGGTTAAAGGCTCAGCTGCTAACCAAAAGGTCAGCACTTTGAATCCACCAGCTGCTCCTTGGAAACCCTATGGGGCAGTTCTACTCTGTCCTGTAGGGTTGCTAGAGTCGGAATCGACTCGATGGCAATGGGTTTGGTTTTTGGTTTATTAAGTGATCTGCTAAGGGGCCCTGGTGGCACAACGGTTAAGCACCCCGCTTTTGACTGAAAGGTTAGTGGGTCGAACACACTCAGCAGTTCCATGGGAAGAAAGACCTGGCGATCTGCTCTTGTAAAGATTATAGCCAAGAAAACCCTATACGGTAGTTCTACTCTGTCATGTGGGGTCGCTATCAGTTTTGAAATCGACTCCACGGCACCTAACAACAACAGAGTGATCTGTTTAAAATCGCGTAATGGAAATGAATCCAGTTTCTTTGGTAACTCAGTGCTGTTTTCTCCCATACCAAAGAGAGGCCCTGGGAGAGGAGTATGGAAATAAGAGTAGAGTCTCAAATTTGCAAATTCCTACTTCAAGTTCATCTACCTTTCTGATGTGTAACTGTCCCTGCAACACCCTTGCCTTATCCTTTGTCAGAAAGCCATTTGGTCATGAACTATATTCCTTGTCTTTTCCTGTGACCAAGTGGAGTGAGGATCCCGTCGGCAGCCTCTTGGCTCGCTCGAGCACTTTGCATATGGTGCTGAGAAGGAGATGAAGTCATCTTTGTGTAATGGAAATGCCAAATGCGATGCTGGATCTAAAAAAGGGCCGCTAACATTCATCCCCAGAAGCGTGGACAAATGTGACACCACACTCTGAACACAGGCCTGGCTCTGATTTTCTGTCTGTGATTTTTGAATCGGTCCTTCCAGTCCAGTTTCTCTTTTCTTCAGCCATAATTTGAAAGATAAAATGGAAATTGGAATCTTTTGTCTGCATCCCCTCCCAACCCCCTCTTCCCTTTTTCCTTTTATCAAAATAAGACGCCATGATCACATTTTAATCATCTGAGTTGAAAGAAAGGGGGAATAGAAACATCTGCACACTACACTTCATTTTGATGCTCTCTTGTGACTCTGCTTCCCTGGGGAGGCAGAGAAGAGGCTGGGGTACCTCTCAGGGGACTTGTTCTTTCCCCTTTCATATTTCCAGCCCAGAAGAAAAGCCGAGAAGCCTTTTTCACTTGCTTTCTCCCTTGCTTTATAAATAGAGCTGGACAGAGACATCTCTGTGGGTGCCAGCTTCATGATTTGTTTGCTCCTTTAAACTATTTTAAAAATATTTGTTCACCGTTTATTTAGAAGAAAAGGTAGAAGGGAAAAGACCACTAGTGTCTAGACTTAGCTTTGTCCCTAATTTTCCCTGGGGATCAGTGCTGGCCCCAAATTTGCATGCCTCCCACCAGAAAACAGATATTCATTGGCCTCACCTTTTTTTTGAAGGCAGTTTGGTGACCATCCGTGCTTATGCCATCACTTCCCTTTGGAAGTTGTACCTTCCGCTCCAAGCAGCTTATCAGTGATCTCTTTTCAACTCTCTCCCAAAGGATCGCTTTGATACATGCCATTTTCTTCAGTTTGGCTAATTTTTAGTAATGATTAAACACCCATTGTAGATTAGTGCCTGGGACTGCCGCCTGGCTAGGTTATTCCCAGATCTGGCACCGATATTAGACTGCTTCAAATTGGACTCTGTCTTTGTGTATCCTGCCCTTCTGGCCCGGCACCCTCAGCACACACATGGCAGCTCAAACAGTGCTGTGCACATAAAAAGAAAAAACAAACCTATTGCTGTCAAATCCATTCCGATTCATGGTGACCCCATGTGTGTTACAGAGTAGAGCTGTTCCGTAGGGTTTTCTTGGCTGTAATCTTTACGGAAACAGATCGCCAGGCCTTTCTTTCATGGTGCCAGTGGGTGGGTTGGAACTGCCAACCTTTAGGTTAGTTAAGTCAAGTGCAAACGTTTGGCACTACCCAGGGACCGTGCACTACTAAGTGCTTTATAAAGAGTTGACCAATTGTGTGTGCTGCTCTCATCCTCCTTTTCTTTCCTGATAGTTTCCCGAGGGAGGCAATGTGGAATAGAAAGAAAAATGCCTCGCATGGGCTTTGGAGTCTGAAGACCTAAGTTTGAGTCCCTTTTCTACCCTTTACTAGCCATTTCTTCCTTGAGCCTCAGTTTCCTCATCTCTAAACACGAAATAATATAAAGACCTATTTTGTAGTTTTATGAGGAGTACATGCAACAATGTCTGTGAAAGTGCTTTGTCAACTGTGAAGACCAGATTGAGACCAGACTCGTTGCCATTGAGTCGATTTTGACTCATAGCGACCCTGTAAGACAGTAGAACTACCCCATAGGGTTTCCTATGGATTCAAACTGCTCATCTTTTGGTTAGCAGCTGAGCTCTTAACCACTGCGCCACCAGGGCTCCTGACTGTGAAGGGTCGTGCAATTTTGGAAATTATTAAGCTCAAAAATCAAGGAGCTATTATTTCTATGGTAGCTGCATTATTGCCCAAGCGAGTATCCTGACACCTCCCCCCACCCCCCGCCACCGACAGTCTCCTTCTCCCTCCCTCCCTCTCTTTCTAATTTTCTACCTCCAGTCAGTTACTGACTCTAGTTGATTTTATATCCCCAATATCTCTGGAATCCATCCACTACTCCAAACCCTATGGGCATTACCTTTCTTTATTCAGACTGCTCTTTTTTCTCCTTAGTGAGTCCAGTAGCCCCCTAATTGGTCTCTCTGCCTCTGGTCTAATCCTCATCTATCCATTCTCCACTCAACAGCAAATCTGACCTTGTCAACCCCATACTTAAAATCCTTCAGTGTCTTCTCATTGCACTCAAAATAATAATCCAGACATTCTAGCAATGTGATTTTGGACAAGTTCATTAACCTTTCACTGCCTGAAAAGTAGGGATAATAATATCCACCCTATGAGTCGGAATCGACTCAACGGCAATGAGTTTTTAAAGTACCATTGTGAAGATCCTATGAGATGATGGTTGAAGAGGATTTAGCACAATACCTGCTGTGTGATAAATACTCAATAAGGGCTTCCTGAATGAGTGAATAAATGAATAATTGACTGTAGAGCCTGTAGTTGTTGGTAACCAGTGTTTTTAGGAACTAGGACTAGGAGAAAATAGGCTTTGCTCGATCCCTATATATCATGTCCTCTTCTTTGTGGAGTTACCTGAGTGAATTGTCACTGGTGAACCTAATTCTCTCTTCTCTATAAGGGGAGGAACCAGGCTTCTGTGTCGGGGAGAGAGATTAACATCCCATTCCCCTCTTTTGGCCTAAGACCACCTGTCCAGAGTCAGCCTGTGGTGGGAAGTAGGCTGGGATGAGAGTAAAGAGTGCCTTTGCCTGTCTCTGGGGGCCCTTCTGGAAACCCTGGTTGCATAGTGGTTATGAGCCACAGCTGCTAACCAAAAGGTCGGCAGTTTGAATCCACCGGGCGCTCCTTGGAAACTCCATGGCACAGTTCTAGTCTGTCCTGTAGGGTCGCTATGAGTTGGAATCGACTCGACAGCAACAGGTTTTTTGGGTTGTGGGCCCTTCTTGTGGAAAGGTCCTCTCTTCTCTCCAGTTGGGCTGTTGACAGGATCAGCTGGACTCACCCAAAGCCACATGGTGGGGAAGAAGCACCCCTAAGGGGCAGGTGATAAGTTACCTGACAAGTTTTATTCTTTGGATTTCTGAAGGAAACTGGTACCCTTTGGAATTCAAAGGAGAAAAGCTTTGAGTGCTAGAGCATTGTTCTCCCTAGCAACACTAAGCCCAACATTTACCACCTCATTCATCCTCCGAATAACCTTGTGAGCTAGGGAGGGATAGCTGTTGCCAGTCCATTTTAAAGATGGGGAAACGGAGGCACAGAAGTAGTCATGACTTGCCCAAGTTCATACTGTCAGTGGCAAACTCTAAAACAGACAAAATATGTCATGACTCTCAAACCATTGCCCTTTCCTGAGACCAACACCTCTGAAAATAGGGCTGGAAATAGGGGATAGTGAGACTCAGCCCATCTCCCGTATACACAGAACGTCTCTATTAAATGTAGAAGGAGGAGGTTGTCTTCAGATCACTGCTGGGTTCAGCATGCTTCAGTGAAACCCACAGGGGTTTCTTCTGCCCATCTTTTTTTGAATGCTTACTCTGTGAGCATTATATAGAAAAACTTTTCTAGGAGTTGGCCAGAAAGATGTGAAACATTCGGTCATATGTCCATAGCTCCATGGAGGAATCACATGTAATGAGAAGGCCAACAAGTAAAAGGCAGTTGATCATTCATTCTGCTGTTGTTGTCTCTTGTCCAGCCCTGGACCTCAGAAGTATGATTCAAAGGAACAGGGACTCGTCTAGGTCCCTCAGTTATATTATACTTTTAAATGGGCTTTCACAGGAAATGAAGTCTCTGATGTGTGCTAGCAGAGAAAGATTTTGTTTTGTTTTTCCTTTTCCAAAGGATGTTTTGAAGGTCACTATTAAACTTGTGGTTGAAAGATAATGAACTTAGGTATCATTTGTGGTATCTGCAGCCAAATATACCACCACTAAAATATAAATATTTGTTCTTTTGCAGTCAGTATCTGCAGAACAGTAAGCGAAAGAGCCGGCCTGTGAGTGTAAAAACATTTGAAGATATCCCATTGGAAGAACCAGAAGTAAAAGTAATCCCAGATGTAAGTACATCTTTTAAAAATAGTCTTAGAAATAATACAAAGAATGAAACATTAGTTAGATAAATATTAGCCTAAGCATTAGAGCCTTGGAGCCTCATTATAAAGCTGTCCTTAAGGGTATGTGTCATGGGGTCATTACGGAGACGGAATTTATCAGACCCCCTTGGTTTTTCCATAAGTGAAGACCCTGGTCCAAAGTTCAAGGTATCTAGCTTTATCCAGAATTTCACTCAAAAGCGAATATTATCATTGTGAAAAGCGGATGGAAATGGGCTTCCTCAGCATCTTCTTAAATTCTTCTCTTGCTCCAGACCTTTATCTACTTCTAGGAAGCAGCTGTTTCTTTTTGTAGCTTGCACAGTTTCTGACTATGATACTTTTACCTCCCTCTGCAGGACATTTAAGGAGCCCTGATGGTGCGATGGTTAAGTGCTTGGCCACCAACCAAAAAGTTGGTGGTTCGAACCCACCAGCTGCTCCCTGGGAGAAAAGACCTGGCAATCTGCTCCCATAATGATTTCAGCCTAGGAAACCCTATGAGGCAGTTCTACTCTGTCATATAGAGTCGCTATGAGTCGACACACAGTAACACAATAACAACGACAGGACATTTGAGCATGTGTCTCAGAGATGGGTTACAAAATCAGCTTAATTAAATAGTTGGTTAGTTTACACACTCAATCAACTGTGCCATTTAATTGTCTCTTAAAAAGGACAACCAGACGGACAGTGGTATGGTTCTTGCGTCAGAAGAGCTGAGAACTTTGGAAGACAGAACCAAATTAGCTCCATCCTTTAGGTAAGCCTCAGCTAGATAGCAAAGACAAATTTTAGTAGGGATTTTTTGGAAAGAACTTAGGATTTCCAATGTAGGTGCAGAGTTTTCCCTTTTAGTGTCTTTTTTGGTTGGACAAATTAGCATCAACCTAACTGGTAAAGAACTGAAATAAACCAAAGAAATTAAATGGCAAGTCTGAAAAATAACCTGAAATAAATTAGTGAATTTTATCAGTTTTATAAGAACAAATGAATACTAGGGAATGTCTGAGCATTAGTTTGTATGGCATGGGCGTGATACAAAGAGGTCATTGGATATGAACACTAAAGCTATTGAGATGATTAAAATCTTTGTGAATAGTGAACAGTTTTCAAATTTGTACATAAATTGGTGCATCTGTTCTTCAGAAGTAGAATGTACAAATAAACCAACATCTGTTTGTTTAAGATACCTAACCAGCTGACTTATTTAGTAGTTAACCATGAAAAAAACTATTCCATTTGGTTTTGAATATAATTTCCCCCAGTTGGGTCAGTAGAAATTTGTAGTTGCTTTGAGTAGGTGTACCTGCTTTGAGCAAAGCAAACAGCTGGAAATCTGTATGTATAAAAACCATAGGTTACAGAATAGTTATTTATTTGCGAGGGGGTTCGCTATAGGTAAGAGTAGAGAAGGTCTTGATCTACTTATAATCTGTTATATAAAATGGGAACACTCATGGATAATTGAGTGATGCTCATAAGAAAGAAGACTTTAAAATGTGCTCCTGTGCACTTTAACTGTTTGTCTTAAGACCCAAGATAAGAAATTGTGACAGCCAATCATATGCTTTATTCATTGATTCAAGAAATATTTTTTGAGTAACTACTAAGTAGCAGGCACCGTGCTATTTTTGGAGACACTAAACCAGTTTTCATTGGGGTTGGATTGAAAGAAAAATTGCACTTCTACCTATTTGAAATAATTTTAACCCGTATATATATATATATATATGCATTTCTACTTAATTGAAATAATAATTTTTAACCCATATATATGGACATAGAGTTAGAAGTTTTTCTGTAGTTTTTAACATGAATAATTGGGGTAAAACACCATTAAGGGGACAAAAAAAACCTCTGAATGACTTGCGAAAGTATAAATCTTGAGGTTTTAGATCAACACAGCCTACATTGCTGAGCTTCGACATGATTACCATCTGTCAGAGTCCCACGCCATTGAAAACATTACCTAGTTGCTGCCGAATGATCCAGGTTCTCAGTCCCTCCAAAGAATGTGCTTTTGAAAGCAGTTTTTGACATGTCTGGCTTGATTGCACACAAGCTTTAAGTTATTAAAATTCAAAGTTGCTCAAGAACTTTATCAACACCATACACATGCCTTGTAATCTCCTAATTGGCTGTATGGAGAAAGCACAAGTGAACTTTCTGAACATTCCGGTTTCCTTTAATGTCATGAAAGAGTCCCTTTGACTCCGGATCATTGTATACAAGTTTGTCAATCTGCAAGGCCATAAGAATGTTCCATTGGTTGGAGCCTTTGCAAAGTCAGGAGAACTGCCTTTCATCTCTTCTGAAGCTTGAAAGACTTGGACCTGAATAAGAGGACTTATCTCCAACTGCTAATTCATGCTAGTACCTGAAAATAGACATTGTCCGAGTCAACCTGATATGTTGATTAACAGCTGTGAGAGTTAGGGCTCTGCTATCTCCAGGGAGGGTACAGCTCACAATGGGTTGAGAGTGGAGTCCCTGGGTGGTGCAAACGGTTAAGCACTAAACTACTGACCGGAAAGTTGATTGTTTGAACCTACCCAGAGGTGCCTTGGAAGAAAGACCTGGTGATCTGCTTCCAAAAAGTCACAGCTTTGAAAACCCTGTGGAGTGCAGTTCTACTCTGAAAACACATGGGGTCGCCATAAGTGAAAATTGACTCAACAGCAATGGGTTTGGTTTTTGGTTTGGGGTTGGGAATGGGGCTGCAGAAAGAAGCAAAGAACTGCCTTCTTTCAGCCGACTCATTTGGTTGCCATTTCTTCTACAGTGGACTGATGCCCAGCAAAAGCAAGGAGTCTGTGGCATCTGAAGGCTCAAACCAGACGAGTGGCTACCAGTCCGGGTATCACTCCGATGACACAGACACCACTGTGTACTCCAGTGAGGAGACAGAACTTTTAAAGCCGGTGGAAATTGGACCACAAGCTGGTGGCACAGCCCAGATGCTCCAGTCTGACTCTGGGACCACAGTGAGCTCCCCTTCTGTTTAAAGGGAGACACCTACATCCTCCCATTTATTGGAAATCACATGAGAGGTGCTGCTCAGATTTTCAAGTGTTGTTCTTTCCACCACCAGGAAGTAGCCACATTTGATTTTCATTTCAAAAAGAGGACCTCAGACTGCAGGGAGCCAGTCCCCTAAGCATTTCCTGAGAATGTTTGTGACCCAAGAATGTTTATGTGTCTTCTCCCAGTGTTGAACTTATTCTCTTTTTCATTTATTTAAAAAGCATGTATGATGCTCCAACTGTGGGTCTCATCATAGGTTATAACAAAAGTCCAAGAAATGGTTCCAGCTTCAAAGAAACAGTGGTCTACCTGGGGAGTTGACTCCTGTAAAACTAGAAGATAAATCAGGCAATGCAGGTGCTTTTAGGTGTTGAAAATGGGAAAGATCTTTAGAGCTGACTGCATCTAAGAAGCTTTGTTTAGGGTATGGGTTCTGAGCCAAGGCTTAACTGTAGGATTTGGATGGATAGAAAAGAAGATATTAGCTTGCTTTGAGAGGGTACTGGGGCCTGCAGATGCGTTGTGTTGACCCTGGTGGAGGTGGACACGTGGTCTGTGAGGAACTGTAAAGACTTCATACAAGGTTACTGGTTTTACAAGGTTGCGTGCTCTTCCCAGTTGGGCTAAATGAGAGTTCCTTGTGCTGTTTCCGACTCCTAATGAGAGTTCCTTCCGGACCTTTACGTGTCTCCTGGCCAAGCCCCAGGAAGGATATGATGCAGCTCTGGCTTCTTGTCTCTCAGGCTGATCCTTTATTCAGAGCACCACAAAGAAAGGACATTCAGACCGAGGCTCCCTGTCGTGTTGAAGGGTTCTAACTGTAGAAACCAGCCTCTGGTTTCTTCTGGATGAGTACCCACGTATCTGTTGTGATGTGATATGTCTGAGACTGAATGCAGTAGGTTCAGTGTCAAGCTGTGGTGTCAAAGTTTCAGAAAGGATTGTACCCTTTTGTTCCTCCTCCCCACCCACCATTCCCACCCCCACCCCGTCAGTATTTGAGTTATTTGACCTCTACACTCCAGCAAAAACTGATTTGGTTTGTTCACTGTCTAAATGATTATTAGTCAGATTTTGAAATTATTTTATAGCCAAAGTTCTAACAGCATTTATTATTCAGACTTTTAACATGTAAAGCTGTTTCTACTGGTTTTTGCCCTTATTCTTTCCTTTTTAAGAAAGAAAATGTATTTTTTGTTTGGTACCATAGTGTGAGATGCTGGGAACCATGACTATAAATCATGCTATGGCACATCTATTTATAGTCTGTTTATGTAGAAACAAATGTAATATATTAAAACCTTATATATAATGAACTTTGTACTAGTCACATTTTGTATCAGTATTATGTAGCATAACAAAGGTCATAATGCTTTCAGCAATTGTTGTCATTTTATTAAAAAGAAAAGACATTGAAAAACTTGAAGCAATCCTTTTTTCAAAGCTGCGTTACTGTGCCTATCATTTCTCTTACTTCTAAGATGGAGGGGATGAACCAGACATCACTTCTAGGTGATTGTTTTTCCTTTTACTTGTTCTCTTGTTCTTCTTACGGAGGATATTTTGATAAAATGTTTATATACTTTATGAATTAATAAATGTATTCGTAGTAAAAAAATACAATGGTATATTATCGCGACTATTTTGAGGATAAGTACTTCTGGCTTGAGGTGTGATTACTTCTCACTCTCCTCCTCCCCTTTGTTACACAAATAATCCATGCATATGTGCATGCTCATTATGTTGTGAGCACTCTGGAGACTGTTAAAATATAGACCAAGAGTTATGTGATAAGCACTCTTAGCAACATTCATGGCCCTCCAGTTAACCTTGTGCCTGTTAGAATAGCCAGCCATGAAAATCAAAGGGTGAGGGATCCTGAGACAAGTGGCCAGACCCAGGCTGTGCAGAGAAGCATGGAGCGTATTTCTAGTTTCTGATAATGTTTTACTCCATATTTGTAGTGTCTGAACATCAGATCCTGTGTTGCCATTTTGAATGACTTTTGTCTGCATTCTGTGAGTGCAATTATCTAACAAATTATTAGCACCAGTTAGGGGTCTTCTCTTTGCAATGAAGGTTCAGTGGTAGAGTTCTTGCCTTCCATGCGGGAGACCTGAGTTCGATTCTCTGTCCATGTACCTTATGCACAGCCATCACCCATCTATCAGTAGGGGCTTAAGTTGTTGCTATGATGCCGAACAGGTTTTAGCAGAGCTTCCAGAATAAGACAGACTAAGAAGAAAGGCCTGAGATTTTCTTCCCAAAATCAGCCAGTGAAAACCCTATGGATCATGCAGTCCGATCCGCAACCAGTCATAGGGTTGGCCCAGGACTGGGCAGGATTTTGATTTGTTGTGGCTGACTTGATGGCAGCTAATATAAACAACTCTGTGGTATTTTTTAATACAAGATTTTGAAATGTTCTTCTAGTCCAATATAGCTATCATTTTTAAAATAGCTTCTAGGTTTCTTATTTAGAATGGTCTCCCTAATCTTAAAATAACCCAGATATTCTCCTAAATTTTCTTCCTCTTTTATTACGTTTAAATCCATCCGGGAGTTATTTTTGTATATGAAGTAAGGTAGGGGTCTAGCTTTATTTTCTTCAAGCAGCTTGTCAGTCATGGCCGCACCATTTATTAAATATATGTTGTGTCATTTTTCAAATGCCACCATTTCACTAAAGGATTCTGCACACACCTTTATGAGGAGAAGAGGGTGGCGGTGGGTGTGTGTGGGTTCTGCAATAGCGTTTACAGATTGACAGATTAGGGTCTTCTGACAGTCTCTGTTAAACTGTAGATCATGGCTGGCTACGTTCCTCGTCTCTTCTACTTATTGTCTTCCACCAAATGAATGGAAGAAGGTCTAGGTTATTCAGGATGAAGAAGACCTCATATAAAAACACAGTATTTTACTCACTTTAGAAAAAAAGAGATTTTTTTTTACCCCTCATAAGCAGCCTCTGGCACTGTTTCCAGTACCAGGAATTTGGAATCAGTTGCAACTAACTTCACACTCTATAAAGAAATACTTTCAGCATCTCAGGCAGATGATAAGAAGGGAGATTTGGCCCTCTCTCTCCTCTCTTCCATGCCCCTTGTTCTTAGCTTCTTTTCTCTCCTCATTTGCCCCTGTACTGAAGAAAAATTGGTGGCTTTTCTAAGTGCTTCCTGCGTGGTCTTATTTTCAAAGGTTTGATATGAGGCATGTGGTGTGTTTTAGGTGAGACCACACAGTCTCCTCTTGTGTCTGACTTTCTACCCCCTCCCTCTCTTCATTGCTCCCTTCCTTGACTTGCTTTGTTCTTCTCCCTCCTGTCAGCCTCTTCCAACTCCTCACTTTTAGTTTTTCTCTTTCTTTTCTCTAAACTTTGTCTTCTCTGCCCTCCCTCCTTTCCCCTCAGCTGCACACAGGAGAGATGGTGGCTGTGAGGAGGTTTAAGTTCATTATCCCTGGACTAGGTTTTCCTATCACTGCACATTCCTTTGTCCTCTTCAATGAAAGGAAAGGAGAAAAGTAAAAAACCTCAAACCCACAGCTTTGTAGTTACTAACTTTAATCTCATTTTCCTGTCTCCCCATAGAATGTTCTTTCTACCTCTCACTCAGATGTTTATTACCTAGATGATAGAATGTCAGCTAGCTAAACTTTTTGAGAAAATAGTTTTTCATACATATCTTACCACGTTTGCATGACCCTTCTCCCTTTGGAATGGGAGCCCTGGTGGTGCAGTGGTTAAGAGCTACTGCTGCTAACCAAAAGGTCAGCAGTTTAAATCCACCAGCTGCTGTTAGGAAACCCTGTGGGGCAGTTCTACTCTATTCTGTTGGGTTACTGTGAGTTGGAATCAACGCGACGGCAATGAGTTCTCCCTTAGGTCCAGTGGACATGCCCATGCTTTCTCGAGCAGTGAGCACGTCTCAAAGGAAGGTTCTAACTTGTTTTTATAAAGTGGCATTTTCTAAATGACTCTCTTCCATGTAAGGGTTTAGATATAGGTGAAAATCTGAACAGTCTTTGTGGAAACAATTTTTGTGTGTGTGAAAGCAATTTTAAGAATAATTTTTAGAAATGTTATAGAATGTTCCCAAGTGATAAAGAGATTAAAAAGGTAAAATAGAGTTATTTACTGTTTTTGACCAGTATGGAGAGAAGTGGAAGAATCTGGGAGGAGCAACTAGGAGAGAGAAATTTAACATCCAACTTGGTCTGAATTTCTGGAGCTAAAGTAGTAGAACCTACCACCCACAGGAGAGGTCTGACTCAGAGATAAGGACCCTGAGTGAGTTGAGAAAAAAGTATTCTAATGAAGACTACTGATAAGACAAGGATTACAGTTTACTGTGATTGATATCAAGTGAATGCTCGTGAGAAGACATCAGATTGTTCTTAGATTTCATTTTCTTTACCACACAATATATAAGCTTTATGTAATTTCTTGACATCTGTAAAAAACAACATTAAATTGAGCAGTTTCACTAAAATATTTTTTGGTTAAAATTTAAAAATGAAGAGAATATGTGGTTTAATTTTTATTTCAGCCTCACCTATAGTTTATGCCAAGTACTTTAGAACAACATATAATCAGTGTACTACTCATAATTGGTGGCAGTGTACCCTCGTACCTTAATTATTTGAAGCTCTTAACTTTATTTTTCTGCCAAGGTTTTTTTTGTGTGTGTGTGCTTTAGGTGAAAGTTTACAGCTCAAGTTAATTTCTCATACAAAAATTTACATGCATATTGTTTTGTGACATTAGCTGCAATCCCCACTATGTGACACCACACTCCTCCTTTCCACCTCAGGTTCCGTGTATCCATTAGACCAGTTCCTGTCCGTTCCTGCCTTCTCATCCTGCTTTTGGACAAGAGCTGCCCATTTGATCTCTTATATCTGATTGAACTAAGCAGCACATTCCTCACGTGTGTTATTTTTGTTCTACAGTCCTGTCATCTTTGTCTGAAGAATGGGCTTAGGGAATGGTTTCAGTTCTGGGTTAACAGTGTGTCCAGGGGCCATAGTTTTGGGTGTTCCTCCAGTCTCTGTCAGACCATTATGGTTGGTCTTTTTACTTGAATTTAGGTTCTGTTCTACATGTTTCTCCTGCTCTGTCTGGGACTCTCTGTTGTGTTTCCTGTCAGGGCAGTCATTGGTGGTAGCCAGGCACCATCTAGTTCTTCTGGTCTCAGGCTGATGGAGTCTCTGGTTCATGTGGTCCCTTAGTCCTTTGGGCTAATATTTTCTTTGTGTCTTTGGTTTTCTTCATTCTCCTTTGCTCCAAGTGGGATGGGATCAACTGATGTATCTTAGATGGCCACTCACAAGCTCTTAAGACCCCAGATGCCACTCACCAAAGTGGGATGTAGAACATTTTCTTAATAAACTTTATTATGCCAGTTGACCTAGATGTCCCCTGAAACCATGGTCCCCAGACCTCAGCCCCAGCTACTCTGTCCCTCAGAGTGTTTGGAAGTGTCCAGGAAGAAGCTCTTAACTTTTAGATAAACTGCAACAGAAAAAGGACAAGAAATAAAAAAAACTGGCTTTTGCCCCAGTTTTGTTCCAGTTTTGCTTCATTTGGTCTTTCCCTTCTTCAGGAAGTGACATTTTGGGGGAATAAATTGAGGAAAGTGGGTTGAGTTCTTCACTGTTAAAGGTACTCTTGCACTACCTGACTCTCTGGGTCTATGTGCAGCTCCCAGGATATGGGCCGTGGAATGATTTATCAGAGCCCTCTGAGCTACTATAACCAGGAGAGGTTTAATGGAATCCTGATACTATGCACAGACATCTCTTCTAAGCAGAAATAACTTTACCTGTCAAAGGGAACTGGGAACATTCCATTCACTGCCACAGAGAGAGTATAACCAGGAATGAGAACCCAGATGCAAGGCAGAGACTGCAGGCTAGAGACACAGAGAGCAGCAGCATTCCATAGTCATTCCCCATGTTAACAAGAAAACGGCCAGGTGGTATCCTGCAGTGCATATTGGGGAAAAGCAAGGCTTTCCATAGCAATCAAGTGCCAAAGATTCAGCCCTTGATACAAAAACATAAGTAGGTAAAATAGATTTCTTTACCTATATCTGTCTATCTAGCTATCATCTATCTATCTATCTTTATTTACCAAACCAAAAACCAACCCAGTTGCTTTCATGAGTTGGTTCTGACTCACGGCAACCTCATGTGTTGCAGAGTGGAACTACCCTCCATAAGGTTTACAGTGGCTGTTACCTTTCAGAATTACATTGCCAGGACTTTCTTTTGAGGTGCCTCTGGGTGGATTCAAACCGTGCCACCCAGGGACTCCTTATATTTACTAGTATCTGTTAAAAATTTTAAATCATTTAAGTAATAAGAGTCCTAAAGCAAGATGTGGGCATCACAGTTTAGACCATGTGGATTAGCCAATGTTGTTGTTTTGTTAGGTGCCATCAAGTTGGTTCCGACTCGTAGCGACCCT